TTTCTTTTTTTTTTTTTGAGACAGAGCCTCAAGCTATCCCCCTGGGTAGAGTGCTATGGCATCACGCTCACAGCAACCTCCAACTCCTGGGCTCAAGCGAGTCTCCTGCCTCAGCCTCCCAAGTAGCTGGGACCACAGGCGTCCGCCACAACGCCTGGCCATTTTTGGGTTGCAGCCATCACTGTTGTTTGGCAGGCCCAGGCTGGGGATTCGAACCCGCCACCTTAGGTGTATGAGGCTGGCGCCTTAGCCCCTTGAGCCACAGGTGCCGAGCCAGTTTGGTGGTTTCTTACAAAGATGGGCAAACACCCGCTATGCTTATGATGCAGCAATCCCATTCCCAGGTGTTTACCTTGGAGAAATGAAAACCCATATGCACACAAAGACTTGCAAATGAATGCTCACAGCAGTATGATGGTTAATCCACTATAAGCATAATTCGTATTTTTTATTTTTTTATTCTTTTGAGACAGAGTCTCTTTCTGTCGCCCTTGGTAGAGTGCTGTGATGTCATAGCTCACAGCAACCTCGAATTCTTGGGCTGAAGTGATTCTCTTGCCTAAGCCTCCCAAGTAGCTGGACTACAAGTGCCCACCACAGTACCTGGCTATTCTTTTAGAGACAGGGTCCCTCTCTGGCTCAGGTTGGTCTCAAACTTATGAGCTTAAGGTGTCCTCAAACTACAATCCGTGGGCTACATGTGGCCCGCCAAGGATATTTATCCAGCCCACCGGGTGTTTTTGCCACCGCTGCCTATCCTGCTTAGCAGCCGACTTGTCCCGGGGCCTGTAGTCCAGCCCTCCAACGGTCTGAGGGACAGTGAACCGGCCCCCTGTTTAAAAAGTTTGAGGACCCCTGGCAGCCTCCCAGTCACAGTAGCATTATTGCATATACATTTTTTGAAATGCAAATATTTACTAGACCATGCTTTTCTATAAAAATCAAATACATATTGTTATATATATAATGTCTATTGCTCCAACTGTGAAATAAATAACAGAAAAAATTATTCCTTCTGCCTTTAGTAGACAGACCTACTCTGTTGGCAACTTTCAAGTACATAATATATTGTTAGTAACTATATTCACCATGAAACAAGGTAGACTTCTTAAACTTATACTCCTATCTAACTGGAATTTTTATTTTGAGACAGTACTCTATTGCCCTGGGTAGAGTGCCATGGCATCATAGCTCAGAGCAACCTCAAATTCTTAGGCTGAAGCAATCCTCATGCTTCAGCCTCCCAGAGTGCTACGATTATAGGTGTGAGCTACCGTGCCCAGCCTTGGAGTTGTTCTTTTTTTTTTTTTTAATTTCAAATTAATATAAGGGTACATACAATTACATTACATTATTTGCATGTGTTAGGTAAAGTCCAGGTGACAATTGAGCCCTTTACCCAGACATTGCCATATACCCCTACATTGTGCCCGTTAGGTGAGAACTTACCACACCTCCTCCCCCTACCTCCTTCTTGAATTTAGATGTGTTTTTCTCCCATGTGGATATGTAGTTGTTCATCTACTAGTTTCATATTGAGTATATTGGATGTTTGCTTCTTCCATTCCTGTGATAGTTTACTTACTTAGGAGAATGTTCTCCAAATCCATCCAGCTTAATACAGAAGATCTGAAGTCTCCATCTTTCTTTATGAATGAATACTATCCCATGGTATAATATATACTACAGTTTATTTACCCATTCATGGTTTGATGAACACTTGGGTTGTTTCCACATCTTTGCAAGCATTATTATATTTTAATAAACAAAACATGAAGCTGGGCATGGTGGCTTATAATCCTAGCACTTTGGGAGGCTGAGAGAGGTGGACTGCTTGAGCAGGAGTTTGAGACCTGCCTCAGCAAGAGCAAGACCCCATCTCTACCAAAAATAGAAAAGGACTAGCTGGCTATTGTGACGGGTGCCTGTAGTCCCAGCTACTTCGGAGGCTGAAGCAAGAGCATCACTTGAACCTCAGAGTTTGAGGTTGCTGTGAGATATGACATCAAGGCACTCTACCCAAGGTGACAGAGTGAGACTCTGTCTCAAAAAATAATAACAATAGTAAACAAAAAGTGGAAATAACATAAACGTCCATTAACTGTGAATGGAAAAACTAGAGTATGTCCTTGCAATGGATACTACTTAGCAATAAACAGGGAAGGATTACTACACATGCAACAATGTAGACAAATCTAAAAGAAGTATTCTGAGAAGGAAGTCAGCCACTTGCACCCTACATACTGCAAGAGTTTCTTGCTTTTTTTTTTTTGAGTCAGAGTCTCACTTTGTTGCCCTCAGTAGAGTGCGGTGGCATCACAGCTCAGAGCAACTTCCAACTTGTGGGCTCAGGTGATCCTCTCACCTCAGCTCCTGACTAGCTAGGGCTACTGGCGCCTGATACAACATCTGGCTATTTTTAGAGACAAGGTCTCACTCCTGCTCAGGCTGGTCTCGAACTCCTGAGCTTAGGCAATCCACTCGCCTGGCCTCCCAGAGTGCCAGGATTACAGGCGTGAGCCACCTCACCTGGCACTGCAAGAGTTACTTAAGATGAAGTTCTAGGCCGGGTAAAATGAATCCATATGGACAGAAAGCATATCAGCACTGGCCTGTGATGGGGATAGAGGTGGGGGGATGTTGTAGGGTGGGGGTCAGATGAGGAGATGGGTTGCAAAGAGGAAACTCTGGGTTGATGGAAATGTTCTACATCTTGATTAGCACGGTGAGATGACACGCATTTGTCAATATTCATCCAACTGAACGCTTAAAACGGATGCACTTTCTTGTGCTAATTGTGCCTCAGTGCAGGTGATGGAATACAAAATGGACATAAACAAAAGGACAAATCAGATCGTGCCACAATCCTGCTCAGAATCTTCCCAAGTCCTAACAATACATCCGAGTTTCTCTCTGCTCTCATCCCGTACAGACCCTTCTGTTCTGTGAGACCTGAGGCCTGTGTGCAGCTTTCAGCGTCAGCCCCAGCTCTTCCTCCTCCTGGAGGGGCGGCAGCCCACGTGCCTGTGCTGCTCTGCGTCCCTGAGGCTCCTCCTCAGATGAAAGCAGGGGTGCTCCCAGTGACTCCTCGGTTCTCTGGCTGCTGCATGACATTTTCTCCTTTCTCCACAGCTGCTATCAAATTCTAAAATGGCCCGATCTGCTTACTGGTTTACTGTCTCTCGCTACCCTCTTGAATGGAGGCTCCCCAAAGAGTAACTTCATTACTGTGTCCCTGGGACCTTCAACAGTGCCCGGCACACGTCTGTGCTCACATAGGAGCTTAATGGATAAGAGAGTCTAGTTAAGGAACTAGAAAAACCTGTCTGGAACACTGCGAACCACTCTAAACTGGTTTCTATGTACCAAGTGAACAAGAGTAGGTGGCCAAATTGCTCCAGATCCAGGAACAAAGTATATCGGCTCTCATTTTCCCACAATGCTTTTAAGCTGAAAAAATATATAATCTCACCACAGAACTTTTCTAAAAATTTAAGTCATTTTTAATTCCATTACCCAATAAAACAGATTTTTATTTTTCTCTATTGGCTTCCAGTCTTGGCCTGCACATTGAAATTTTTTCAAGAAACCTTTTCCATTTTAAATGCAACACACAAACAGAAACATGCATAGACATAAATTTGGAGTTCTGCCTTTTTCATTTAATGATATCAGATTTTGGTTTTACTACCTAGTTTTCTTTCTTTTTTTTTGAGACAGAGCCTCAAGCGGTCACCCTGGGTAGAGTGCTGTGGCATCACAGCTCACGGCAACCTCCAACTCCTGGGCTCAAGCGAGTCTCCTGCCTCCGCCTCCCAAGTAGCTGGGACCACAGGTGCCCGCCACAACGCCTGGCTATTTTTTGGTTGCAGCGTCATTGTTGTTTTGGCGGGTCCAGGCTGGGGATTCGAACCCACCACCTTAGGTGTACGTGGCTGGCGCCTTAGCCGGTTGAGCTATAGGCGCCGAGCCAAAAAGCAAATATATCTTAATGTGGCTTGATATATATTGCCAGGTTGCTTTCTAGACTAGTTCATATAATGTTCCTTTTAAAAGCCACATTATACACTGAGGGTGACAAAGTGGGGGGGGGGAAGAAAAGAAAAGAAAAGAAAAAAAGCCCCATTATTTAACATACTAAGTGGTACAGGACCCAACTCTCAGGTGCCACCTAGGAACTCAAGGACCTGAGAAATTCTCCTTTACCTCTTCAAAGCACCTATGGGTCCTGAAAGGGCACGTATCTGACCATATGCAGGGAGCTCCTGGGGTGTGCCCATGGGAGAGTACGTTCAGAGGACAGCTCCTCCCTGATTTCTACCTAAACGCTGCAGATAGACTGGCAGCAGCTAACCAGAAGACCTTGCCATAGTGGCTGAAATAAACATGGTGGAAGGCAATGTGATGGATGAGACCACTGACCTAGATGATAAAGCCAGATGTCCCCTACAGGGTAGTCCAGCAAGTGTCTGCCTTGCTAAAAAGAACCCTGCCCACAGGCATAGCAATGCCTAGCTGCTGTGCTCCCACATGCTAGTTTTCAATGACACCGCCAAACAAAAGAAACTTACCTTGGAAACTCAGCTCATACTTCTGAGATCCCACTTGAAACGTGATAATTCCTTGGGGACAAGATTGATAGATAGTCTCCAGGTATGAAGAGTCAATGGTTGAACATTCCTGGTTGTTCTGCTAATTTAAAAAAAAAAAAAAGGTAAAGATTTCAGGGAAGGCTTTTACATGTCTCTACCCGTATATACTACCTGTTCTTAATTTAGCAATGGGATTTGAACAAGAGCGTATCTTGCTTCCCAAACCAGACTGTGAGGCTTCCAGGATGGGCCATGCCACAACCTTTTGTGATCCTCTTCATCGTGGGGCCTAAGAGAGAGTGATCTATCCTGCAGATAGATGTGGATGCCTGAAGAATGTAGCTTTTTGCAATATCCTTTTTACACCATCCATAAAACATGAGCCAATGTACAGAGCAACTTGCATCCTCTCTCTTGTGATGTCATGTCTGCACCCGCCGCCTCTGGCATTATCTCACATCTGGCTCTTTCAAGAAACAGAGCATTATGGGCTAGTCTAGCCTAGCATAGTTAGAGTCGCAGTAAAGGAATTCCTCCTCCTCCTCATCCAAGATCCAACAGGTGTACTGGTGTCCCAATAGAAATGCTCTAATCCTTTCCTCTGCCCTCAACCAGAGTAGATACACAAAACTGACCAAGCCAGTCACCTGCACTGAAAATGCACTTGGATTTAACACTGACTAGAGCTATAACGAAGGGGTGAAGAGTACCCCAAAAATGTAAAGATATAATCTCTGGTCTGAAGACATATATGAAGTATCCAAACATGAGCATGGATGGGTAAAAGAGAAGTGTATTGATTCTAGCAAGGGGCAGGCAAAGCCACTTTCTACTGTCCCCACTCTAGGGCCAGGGAAGCTGACCAGGGCAGACTAGACGTAAGTCCCTAAGAGGAGGGGTTCCCAGTATTTAAAGAGCAGACACTTGCTCCCTGTGATCTAGAATAGAGGAACTAATGACAGCAAAACCCAGCTGGCAGCCCATGGTAGGGAGTGGCTCATGTTCCCATTAACTCCACTCCAGACTCCAGCTTTCATTTACGCCCACCCTCCTTCCCCTTCCCTGATGGAAATGCCTGCTGGACACACAGGAATGAAAGCAAGCAAGGAAAATGTCCCAGATGGAGAGGGCCTGAGCATAGCTGGAGTAGAAAGCTGTGTTCAGTACCTGCATATGATGCAAAGCAGGAATAAACTTGAATTTCTTTCAGGAGGTAGAACCAGGACAAAGGAGGCAGAGTTTAGCAGAACTTTCTGACCTAAAGCATCCAACAATTATGTCCTACCATGAAGTTGTTTGTTACAACAGCTTTGGGAACAGTATCTATCAGGGTGATTGTAGGAGAAATTACCACCGCGATTAGATATAGGGTAAAACATACTCATAGGCCCTTCTCCGGCCCAAAGAGCAGCTGAAGTGGGCAAATATCTTCAGGCACAGAGTGGGGCCGGGCAGCTCTGTCACCTTGCATACACCAGTTTGCCCACTAGCTGAATCCCTTCTCCAATTTCCCACCCCCAAAGCTAACATCCTGTGTCCATCAGCTACCCATTCAACTCTACAGAATTCATCCTGTTCCTACGGGCCAGAGACTTTCACATTTTGCAACCCACGACTCCCCCAGGGATCTTGTTGAAGGACAGATACGATTCAAGGAAGCGGGGAGAGGGCTTCAGATTCTGCACTTCAGCCAGCTCCCAGTGATGCACATGTTGCTGGTCTTGAAGGTCCAGAGACAAGTGCTATTCACTAGAACATTCTGTGATGATGGAATGTTCTCCGTGCTGTCCTACATGGTAGCGCAGGAGAGGCAAAGCTTTACTCCTAACCCTTTTAGAGTTTTTTGACTGGGCCTGACCAGTAAATGGACAGAAGACAAAACATTAGGGAGAAAACATACAAATTCACCAAATGCATGTTTGGCATGGCACAGGGGCCTTCGTAAGGAAATGAAGACCCAAAGATTCAGTGAGAGATGAACACTTAAACGGATTAGACAAAAGCAGTAAATTACAAAAACGTGCTGAGGGCAAGGGCATCGGGCTAAGGCCATTATCTGGATGGAGAAGCAGCTAGAAGAACAAGGATTACTCTAACAGGATTTGTTTGCAAGGACTTCCCTTGATAAAAATTTAAATACCATCTATTCCACAGTGATAGTTCTTTTTGGTTCCTAAAACCCTGATGTCACTAGAATGCAAATGTTTTCCAACCTTTCTCCCTTATCTTAGTGAAAATTACAAATACTTGACATATGAGGACTGGCAATTAAGTTTGCAAACTCATCCTAGAAAGAGTGCTCCATACCTCATTGCTGAGTTATCACTATCGTCACCTTCCAAGTACTCCCCTTGGGAAGCTTTGCACTAACACCCATGTCTAGACTGCCCTTGACAACAATTTTGGAACTCTGTTTCTGGAATGGCCGTCAGAGCTTTTGTCGTACCCTTGATGTCCTGAATGTCACTAAAATATCTTCCTTGCAATATTTCTTTGGGTAAAGAAAACAGTAATTGGGGGCCAGATTAGGTGAGCGGGGAGGGGGTTCCAATATGGTTATTTGTTTACTGGCTAAAAATTCCCTCACAGACTGCGGTGTAAGCTGGCGCATTGTTATAAGCAAAAGCCATGAGGTGGCAAAAAGTTCAGGTTGTTTTCATCTGACTTTTTCACCTAGCCTTTTCAGCACTTCCAAATAATAAACTTGGTTAACTGTCCAGTTGGACAAACTCATAGCGAATGGCCCCTCTGATATTAAGAAAGGTTAACGACATGGTTCTGACTCTTGATTTGGACTGCTGGAACCTTTTGGTTGTGGAGAATTGGCTGACTTCTGTTGTGCACTTCGACACTTTGTTTCAGGGTCATTTTGATACACCCATGTTGCATCACCAGGGATAACATGGCCCAAACATCGTCTTGCCTCTCCAGAGGTCTTGGCAAACTTCAACTCTCTTTGCTTTTGTTCATTGGTGTGCTCCTTCAGGACCATTTTAGCACACGCCTTTCTCACTGAAGCTTTTCCTGCTTCTCTATGGATGTTTACTTGGTCTGCTATGCTTCTCACACTCAGCCAATGATTTTAACGCACAATTTAACTAACGTTCATGATGTTTCTGTGAGTTCTGCTGGTTACTCGCTGCCCTGACCTCTCTTTGTCAATGACACTTTCTCTCCCCTCGGAACGATGTTTAATCCGTTTGTACACTGCCATCTTCTCTTTTTTTTTGAGACGGAGCCTCAAGCTATCCCCCTGGGCAGAGTGCCATGGCATCACACTCACAGCAACCTCCAACTCCTGGGCTCAAGTGAGTCTCCTGCCTCAGCCTCCCAAGTAGCTGGGACCACAGGCGCCCGCCACAACGCCTGGCCATTTTTTGGTTGCAGCCATCATTGTTATTTGGCGGGCCCGGGCTGGGGATTCGAACCCGCCACCTTAGGTGTATGTGGCTGGCGCCTTAGCCGCTTGAGCCACAGGCACCGAGCCCACTGCCATCTTCTTAATGGCATGATCCCCTAAACTTGAACCAACATCTCCCTGATTTCACTTCCACTCTTGCCAAGTTTAACAAGAAATTTAATGTTTGTTCATCGCTCTCATTCAAGCTCCAACATTCTTGTGACGGCACACAAAAACACAATTAACAATGAATGTCACTCAGCAAGACATGAACTCAACTGTGAGACCCTGACAGTCTAAGATGAGGAAGTGTTATCAAGTTGTCTGTACAGCGCTGCCAAGGTAAGCGCACAGTGGCCAGTTTGCGAACTTAATTGTCAGACTTTGTAAGAACCATTGAGATCTACACTTTATTTTCATTTTAAACAAGGCTAATGAATTTAGGCTTATAATTTCTATTTCCACAGGAGCCTTACAGAATCACTTAGTTTACATCATCCTTGGCTTGAACGTAAGAATCTGTGCAAAGCTCAGCAGCTGGGAGTTTTTACAGACTGCTCAGCAGAATTCTGTTCTGCTACATGGGCCACCAAGGGTGAGAAGAAAGCCTAAGGAGGGACCAGGAGATCCGGCTCAGCCCCCGTCCCATCTCAACAGGGCAGCTCTGCTTTACTCTTGTTTGCTCATTTAGGTTCTTTGAAAGATTGCTTGAGACAAAGTGTATCTGCTACTAAAACAGCCGGGAATCCACAATGCCAGAGAATTGGTGGCAGGGCTATTTACTGTTGAGAACCCCACTCTCCACCATGTACGTTGGAGATGTTTTTCCCAAGCCTCACTAACAGAAAAAAGTGGTGCTTCTCCTCCGTAGCTGGTGCCTTTTCACCACAAAGGCACAGAGGATCTTGTAAGAGACTGTGTTTCTCTGTTTGCTTTGGCAGCTAGGGAGCTCAGAGTCTATTGACTTGCAACTATGTAGAACTTCATGCTGGGATTCCCTGGTCCCTACTTTGTCTTTGGCTTCATTTTCATCTCCTGCTTTTATTTCCTCTTTCTCATCACTCTGATTTCATTACCTACTTAAAATCTCTCTGCCTCCCTCTCTCCCTCTTTAATCCTATGAATTGAAGGGAGGCAGGATGCTTAGACACAACAGCAGAAGCTCTGCTCATCTAAACTTCTACCTCCTGTCACTCTGTCCCCTCTATGAGTCAGCCTGGAATCTTCTAGTTCCAATCCTTCAAGTCCATCTGAATTCAGACCCTGACTGAATATTGGTGACCTCTGCACCAGATGTGTTTCATTGCTTGAATGAATTAACACGTCCCCTAGGACAATTAACCATCCCATCATCTCTATAGTCCTTCAAGTTCTCACTCTCACCCTCTTTTCTGGCTCAAAAGCAGGAGTCTCTGTACATTTATGTATTAATACACAGAAAACGATCTCAAGGTTCCACCTCCATTTCTGATGGTGAAGAAAGAAGCATAAGTGGCTGACTTATGCCTCAGGGTTTCTTTAAAAATAGTTAAAATTAAGTTCTTATATTTATGATTGCAATTGGAGTGCATAATCGCTGGAAAATACTAACAAGGTTGTGAATTAAGGAAAAAATTCTCCTTAGGTAGCCAGGTAGCTTCAAATATTTTATCAATAGTTTTCTTTTAAAGTTGGCAAGTTGAAACAAGAGCCTCCCACAAGAAGGAATGATACTCACATCCTTCCCGTATTGAATCCACCTGCCAGATTCACTCTTCCAATACCAAATCCATCGGGTGGTGAAGAAAGAGTTGGCCGAGTTCGTGGTGGATGAAGGAGTGGAGATGCGCCGGACAAGATTGGAACCGCAAGTCATTTTCTGAAAATTGATTGTGTAATCTCCCTTAGAAAAGCTAAGAGAAAAGTACAAAGTTAACATCATGTTTCATCGACCTTTATTTCTATTATCTGGTTTTCCCAAGGGAGGTTTGGGGGCTAAAAAGCATCTTCAAATTTTCTTTATGCAGCTCCAAGTACTACACAGAAAAGAAAAACTGAAATACACAGAGATAGTGACTGGCTGTGCTCCATCTTTAATATTGTCACAAAATATATTCTTCTGAGACTGCAAACTAATACAACGTTTTTGGAAGGATTCTTTAGAGAACCCTCAAAGAACTCAAATTAGATCTCCTGCTTGGTCCTGCAATCCCATTAGTAGGCAGCTACCCAGAAGAAAAAAAATCCTTTTATCATAAGGATACTTACACTAGACTGTTTATCGCAGCTCAATTTACAATTATTGCCAAAATGCAGAAACAATCTAAATGCCCATCAACCCAGGAATGGATTAAGCTGTGGTATACGTACACCACAGAGTACTATTCAACCATTAAAAAAGATGGAGACTTTACATCTTCTGTATTACCCTGGATAGAGTTGGAACACATTCTTCTTAGTAAAGTAACACAAGAATGGAGAAGAATCTAATATACTCAATTCTAATATAAGCCAGTAGATGATCCCGCATTAAGTGAAAAATTCAAATCAATTCAAGGTGGGGTGGGGGAGGGGGGAAGAAAGGGGGATGGGGGTTTACAACGTATGGCACACCTCTTCGAGGTAGGACACAACTATATTACCTAACAAATGCAAACAGTATAACCTAATTCTTTGTACTCTCAATAAACTTGAAACAATAAAAAAAGTAACAAAATGTATTCTTCCCTCAAAAACAAACAAACAAAAAAACTGTGCCCACAAAACAACTGATTGGCTCAATGTCAGAAAGTGAGTTAACAACTCACATTAGGTCAGTTTCTTTTTTTTTTTTTGAGACAGAGCCTCAAGCTGTCCCCCTGGGTAGAGTGCCGTGGCATCACAGCTCATAGCAACCTCCAACTCCTGGGCTCAAGCGAGTCTCCTGCCTCCGCCTCCCAAGTAGCTGGGACCACAGGCGCCCGCCACAATGCCTGGCTATTTTTTGGTTGCAGCCGTCATTGTTGTTTGGCAGGTCCTGGCTGGGAATTCGAACCCGCCACCTTAGGTGTACGTGGCTGGCGCCTTAGCCGGTTGAGCTATAGGCACCGAGCCAGGTCAGTTTCTAAAATTATTTATTATTATTTGATAGTTATAAAAATGTTTCTGAGACCCTTTCAGAGAATCAGCAAGGTGAAAGTTATTTTCATGATAATATTATTTGCCTTTTTTATTTTCATTCTCTCAGGAGTGGATGACAGAGTTTTCCTGAGATTATTTGATGCATGATTTTATAGCAGATCAAATAAAGAAGTAGGTATGAGAATGTAGTTGTCTTCTATTAAGGCGGACTAAAGAGATTTGCAAAAATATAAAACAATGTCACCCTTTCTCGGTAAATTTTTGTTTTGGCAAACAGCTATGTTATGGGTTACCCATATATATAGAGAGAAAGAGAGTTATATATGTGAGTATGTATATTACAAGGACATACATGAATTACTATGCAGTATTAAATAGTTATATGTTATTTATGTTAATATGTAACAAATTTATTACTCTTATTTTTAGATGAATCAATATTTAATTTATCCCATTTTTAATTTTTAATACAGTAAATACTGACAGCTATAATCCATAAAAATTGAAATTCTTTGGGATCCTCAATACATTGTAACAGTGTTGAGGGACCTTGAGACCAAAGAGTTTGAGAATCGGTACTGAAAGAAAGGCCCCTTAGATCAGTGGTTCTCAGTTAGACATGATTTTGCCTCCAGGGGACATCTGACAACACCTGAAGCCATTTTTGTTCACCACAACAACTTGGAGGGGGACGATAGGCAGACGGAGTTTACTGGCATCTAGTGGATAGAGGCCGGGAATACTGCTAACAGCCTCCACAACAATTATCTGGCCCCAAATGTCAAATATTGCTGAGGCTGAGAAACTCTGCTCTAGATTACCTGAGCAGGGAGAGGGGAATATACAGCAGAACCTCCATAGCTGACCACCTCCCTACACAGAACACCTCCTTAAGTTGACCTAATTTTCACAGACTAGATATGCACCATATGTACGTATCAGTACAGCTGACCTAGTTCCTTTATGCGGACCACCTCCGTATATTGACCAGTTTGTTATAGCGCCTTGGATGGTCAACTGACACAGGTTCTTCTGTAGATCTAGAAACAACATAGGTGATGGTGCCCTCTAGTGGCAAAACACAGCAATACAAAAATCTTTAGCAAAAATTCGCCGAAATTGCCTATGTTGAAAAGTATATAAATTTCCCCCTCCCAAATTTCCTTGTAAAGCTAGGCTGCTTTTTTTTTTTTTTTTTTAAAGACACAGTCTCGCTCTATTGCCCAGGCTGGAGTACAGTAGCACAATCCTAGCTCACTGCAACCTTGAATTCCTGAGCTCAAGTGCTTTTCCCACACTAGCTCCCCTAGTAGCTGGGATGTGTTGCCACACATGGCTAATTTTATTTTTTTACTTTTGTAGAGATGGGGTCTCGCTATGTTGCCCACAGTGGTCTCTGACTCCTAAGCCATCCTCTTGCCTCAGCCTCTGAAAGCACTATGTTTACATGCGTGAGCTGCTGCTCCCGGCTCATGCCTGTAATGCATCTCATATGCCTGCTCGTCATAGGTAAGAATAGTCTTGTGGGAATCACCCATTTCAGCTCTACAGAACCAGAAATGTAAGGCATCCGTTTAGATGCTTCCAGGACAGAGAAAAAGAGCAAACACATGGAAGGTATAGAATGCTAAAATATACAACAAAATTTCTTTTTTTTTTTTTTTAAACAGAGCCTTACTTTGTCGCCCTTAGTAGAGTGCATGGCATCATAACTCACAGCCTCTTCAAACTCTTGGGCTCAAGTGATTCTCTTGCCTCAGCCTCCCAAGTAGCTGGGACTACAGACATCCACCACCATGCCCGGCTATTTTGTTGTTGTGGTTGTCATTGTTGTTTAACAGGCCCAGGCTGGGTTCAAACCTGCCAGCGCTGGTGTATGTGGCCAGAACCCTTACCACAGAGCTATGGGCGCTGAGCTCAAAATTTCAATATGAAAATTACTCAAATCATGTTTTAAACTTATGAAGTTAAGCCAAAGGCTCTTTGTTCTGAATCACTTTTTAATAGTTTTGTGATGAATTATAAGAATAAAAAAGACCTCTGCCCTGTGTTTTTTTTGCAAGACACATCGACAGTTATCAACTAAACAATCACGGTACTGTTTATTTTGAGTTAGCAAATACCGTGTTTCCCTGAAAATAAGACACTGTCTTATATTTATTTTTTCTCAAGAAGACACACTAGGGCTTACTTTCAGGGGATATCTTCCGCTCCGCACAGAAATGAAAGGCATGGCTATGCAGATATGCTATATAGCCATGCCCATCACTAGGTCTTGATATTGGGGTAGGGCTTATATTTAACAAATGCATAGAAATCCTGGTAGGGCTTATTTTGGGGGTAGGTCTTATTTTCAGGGAAACACAGTATTCCCAGAATCCCTAGGGTTAGCCAGGCTCAGGGCAACTTCAGACCTATCTAGCTGTGTTTTTTCCTCATTAACTCAGCAGGCATTTGTCATTTTCTTCTTAAGAATTGTCTCACACTTGAATGGGATTCTGGGGGAAAAACTATTTTTCCTTTTTCCCATAAGCCTAGCTCTATGCTCTCTTTTGATAACAACATGGATCTGAAAAGCCAGAGTACAGCCACCAACTTACACACAGTTTTGGGGGTTACAGTAGGCCTCCTCAATCTCCTCCATGGTGGAGAGGTCTCTCCAGAGCCCTTCGTACAGCATCTGCCACCGGTAGGGCAGGTGGAAGTGGTCTTTGTTGCAGTTACCTACAAAGACAGAGAGGAGGTCTGAGGGGCCCATTCATTGGAGATTCTAATCAAGTCAACCAAATCATTGCTGGCTTTCTCCCTCTGGACCTGCATTTCCCACCCTGCCAGACGGTTCCCATCTTTATCTTTGCTCACGTTGGCCCCTCCCCCATATCCATTCCTTCCCCATATCCATTATCCAGCTTCCTTTATTATCCATGGAGACTCAACAGAAAACAAAAATTCTAGCTGAGTGCAGTGGCTCACGCCTGTAATCCTAGCACTCTGGGAGTCCGAGGCAGGTGAGTCCCTTGAGCTCAAGAATTCAGAGACCAGCCTGACCAAGACCAAGACCCTATCTCTACTAAAAACAGAAAAACTAGCTGGGTGTGTGGTGGGTGCCTGTAGTTCCAAACTACTTGGGAGACTGAGGCATGAAGATCGCCTGAGCCCAAGAGTTTGAGGTTGCTGTGAGCTATGATACCATAGCACTCTACCCAAGGAGACAAAGTGAGAAAACAAGAAAACAAAGAAACTAAGAAAACAAAAATTTAGCTCGGCGCCTGTGGCTCAAGCGGCTAAGGCGCCAGCCACGTACACCTAAGGTGGCGGGTTCGAATCCAGCCCGGGCTCACCAAACAACAATAATGGCTGCAACTAAAAAAAAGCCGAGTGTTGTGGCAGGTGCCTGTGGTCCCAGCTACTTGGGAGGCTGAGGCAAGAGACTTGCTTGAGCCCAGGAGTTGGAGGTTGCTGTGAGCAGTGAAGCCATGGCACTCTACCCAAGGGGACACCTTGAGGCTCTGTCTCAAAAAAAAAAAAAAAAATTTCTCTCTCCCCAAAAAGTCACTTTACAACATGGAAATCAGAAGTAATTATAAATTTACAATTATCCTTTCTGCACCTCCCTGAGTGTATATATTAAGATAAAATGCTCACCAGCATAGGTAAGAACCTGTATTTCTTTGAATCCCTGCCCTAAAATCCATCTCTTCCAGAAAGATTCTCCCAACTAACCTCACTCCATTCTCATCAGACTTGTATTTCGTATTCTCTTAGCCAGGACCCAATACCCAGTGTGGGCTTCATTATGTTTTGTTTTGTTTTTTTGAGACAGAGTCTCACTTTGTCACCCTTGGTAGAGTACCGTGGCCTCATCCAGCTCTTGGGCTTAGGCGATTCTCTTGCCTCAGCCTCCCGAGTAGCTGGGACTACAGGTGCCCACCACAATGCCCAGCTACTTTTTATGTTCGAACCCATCACTCTCAGTATGTGGGGGTGGCACCCTACTCACTGAGCCACAGAAGGCGCCCACTGTGTTTTTACTTTATGTAGTTTTCTCATTTGCAGAGGTTTTCATGCCCCACCTTAGCTACAACCTCACTAAAGAAAAAGTTGCATCTTCGTGTAGCTTACACCCCCTTGCGTATCTAGTGTAGGGACGGGTATATGAAAAATGGCCATTAAAGGAATACAGGCTAGGGCCAGGTGCGGTAGCTCACGCTTGTAATCCTAGCCCTCTGGGGGGCCAAGGCGGGTGGACTGCTTGAGCTCAAAGGTTTGAGACCAGCCTGAGCCAGAGTGAGACACCATCTCTAAAAAACAACCAGGCATTGTGGCAGGCACCTACAGTGCCAACTACTTGGGAAGCTGAAACAAGAGACTCACATAAGCCCAAGACTTTGAGGTTGCTGTGAGCTATGACACCTCAGCACTCTACCCAGGATGACAAAGTGAAACTATCTCAAAAAAAAAAAATTTTTTTTAAAAGAATGCTGGCTAAATAGCAAATGAGTGTCATAAGCAGGAAATCAGAAAATAGTTTTGTTTCTTAAAATTTGCATTGTGTTACGTTTAAATTGTTTTGAGATTTTCAAAAAGATGTATGATTTCTTTAAAACAAAAAAAGGCCAAAAAAAAAAAAAAAGGGAGAGAGAGACAGGTTCAGGCACCACAGGGATACCCCTAGCGAGGCACTGCTTAAAACATGGCTGATTGGAAAGCACACAGGCACTCATTATAGTGTACACTTCACACTTATTAGAATGGTCGCTATCAAAAACAAACACAGAAAATAACAAGTGACTGATGAATTAGAACCTTCTGCATTGCTGGTGAAAATGAAAAATGGTATAGCCACTATGGAAAACAGCTCCTCAAAACTGAACCATATATGATCAGCAATTCTACTGCTGGGTATACACATGTCCACAAAAGAACTGAAAGCAGAGTTTTGAGCAGATATTTGCACACTCCTGTTCACAGCAGCATCTTTCTCCCTCCCCCGAGAGTCAGAGTCAGCCACCCCAGTAGCTGGGACTAGAAGTGTGATCCCTAGCACTCTGTCAACTTAAAAAAAGTTCATTTTCTTTTTTGGAGAAGGGGGTCCTGCTTTGTTGCCTAGGCTGGTCTCAAACTCTGGGCCTTAAGTGATCTTCCTGCATCCCAAAGTGCTGGGATTATATAGGCATGAGCCACTGGACTGGCCTATAGCTGGTCAAAAGGTAGAAGCTTGTAGAAAATCCTTATTTTACTTACTCTTGAGTTGACACCCCTTATACAGATGGTCAAGACAAATTTCCTTTGAGTCAGGATCCTCCATCCTAGAAAATGTGGTACATACAACATCAGCCCCAGACCCTGTAAAACAGAAGTGGATGCAGACATGTTGACATAAGTGCTTGAACCAAAAATCAAGATACCAGGTCTCTCAATGGGAAAGAATATCTGAAACGGGGCCATGAGCAAGACAACGCCTATGATTCACGCTCGTGTCTAGACGGCCCCACCCTAAAATGAAATGTGGACATGAGGGTCATATGAGAGCTATGTTTATTTCTTGTTTTTTTTTTAGTTTGCATGTTTGTTTGTTTGAGACAGAGTCTCATTTTGTCACCCTGGGTAGAGTGCTGTGGTGTCATAGCTCACAACAATTTCAAACTCTTGGGCTCAAGTGACTGTCTTGCCTCAGGCTCCTTATCAGCTGGGACCATGGGCACCTGCCACAACGCCCAGCTATTTTTAGAGACAGGGTCTCACTCTGGCTCAGGCTGGTCTCAACTCAGGAGCTCAGGCAATCCACCTACCTCGGCCTCCCAGAGTGCTAGTATGGGCCACCACACCTGGGTATGTTTATTCCTTAAATCACAGTGGAACCATTGCTCTTATCAGTAAATGTAGCAACTTGCTCCATGTGTAGTTCTAATGGTTGGTCTTTCCCTGTCTTCATAATTCAGCCTCCTCTATGGTACCACCCCTGAACCAAAACCCTCTACCTCTATGCTGTTTAAGAGCTACGGCAGAGGCTCGGCACCTGTGGCTCAAGTGGCTAAGGCACCAGCCACATACAACTGAGCTGGCGGGTTTAAATCCAGCCCGGGTCCGCCAAACAACAATAATGGCTGCAACCAAAAAATAGCCAGGCATTGTGGCAGGTGCCTGTAGTCCCAGCTACTTGGGAGGCGGAGGCAGGAGACTCGCTTGAGCCCAGGAGTTGGAGTTTGCTGTGAGCTGTGATGCCATGGCACTCTACCCAGGGGGACAGCTTGAGGCTCTGTCTCAAAAAAAAAAAAAAAAAAAAAGAGCTACAGCAGAACATCCCAGGACAAACCACCAGCCACAGCCACTCTACTTCTAGACTACAAGGCTCCTTCAGTGACTTACGCTGAGCAGAGCTTAGGGTCCTCCTTGTGGACTCACTGGCGGGGGAAATAGGGATTTGAGTGGAGTTCTGGACAAGGGTTCCAGAGGCTGCAGCTCTGTTGCTTAAGGAAGGTGAAGGTGACTGAAGCATGGTGCTGAATAGCGCAGATATCTTGGTTTCCCCAGGTGTGGACAGGACCTGGCTTTTCAGACTCTGACCTCCAGAGCTGAATGCATCTGTTTCCCCAATAACTGCTGTTTTTAAGCCCAAACCGGCAGCACCAGTTTTTTCTACATTAGTAGTTTTATCCATAATTTGAGTAGAGCCATTTGGCACACCGTGGGCAGTTTTACTAGCCGAGAATGTCTTCCCTCTGTATTTACTGTTAACAAATGCCACTCCTGCATAGTCACTCTCCGTAATTTTGTCAGTGGTTTGGAGATCTTGGGGAGTGGGTCCAGCATCCTGATTCCTAGGTAATGATGTTTCTCTCTGACCGCTGATTGTGCCTTTGTAATTGAAAGATCTTGGGGGAATTAAACCAATAGCTTCTCCATCAGCATTATTATTATTAAAAAGAGTATGCTGGATGTCTTGAATTCTACTTGTGCTGTTGAGGTCGCTGAGGTCAGAGTAAAGTAAGCTTGTGCTCTCTCTGGTGGTCACAGCTGCGGGTGTTGGTGCAGAACCAAGAGGAGAGTGGGGGCCGGTCAGAAGTGGAGAAAACATGCTCTCTTTCCTGGTGCCTTGGTCACTCAGCCAGGATGTGGGGTCCTTTTGGTTGGAGGCTGGTGTTGAATCCGAAAGAAAGTAAGTGTTGCTGTGATTCCCGTGAAAGAAGCCTTCTGGATTGACATTCTCTGGAAACTTCTGACCTGTTCCTCCAAGACTGGTAGCCTTAGCCGAGGCCAAGGAAGGCTGAGTGCGATCCTGAGCCCCCAGGTAGGTGAACTCCTGGGTGAGATCATCTACAGACAGATCATCCTCAGGAGCCCTGCAGCCGATCTGATCGGGACTGGGCGTGGAGGACCTTTGAGCGGATGCTGAAGCAGATGAAAGAAATTCCTGGCTTTCCTGAAAGAATCGCTCTCTACTTTTGCTTCTGCTTCTGTATGCCCCGCCTCTACGATGTGCGCCAGGAGCTACAGACACAAAACAAAAAAAAGAAAGAAATGAAATAATGAAAGAGTTAAAGAGATTTGAGTTCCTACCACCATTCTTCCTCTTAGCTTTTCTAGCTTTGCCATCCAAGTTCTATCAAATTACTTGTCCTGATCTGGAGTGTAACATCTTGAGGATGGGTTGTTACAATGATGGAAGAATCTTGACATTCTGTGAGTACGGAAGAGAATATCATTCCATCGCCTAGGACACAAGGGGATCCTGGTTCTCTTCCTGCTTCTCCTCTAGGACTGAGATGCAGTCTGCAAGCCCCCCAAGCCCCAACACTTAGGTGGCGGTGTCCACTATCCCCTGGTCCCAAGTCAACATTCACTCCATGGTGAATGGAGAGACAGAGTGGGGCAAAGCACGGAGATTTTCCAAAAATCATTTTGATTTTGCCTGTATTGTAATATGGGTACCTGACAATTTGAGGATTCGTAATACTTAAATAGAAAATGAAACTAACACTCTGAAGGTCTGATTTTCTTTAAGCCAGAAAATTTTCCAAATTTCTTTCTCTAGCGCCCCCTTCCCCAATTCCCAAGCATAATATCAAAAGTCCAAATTGACCACGCAAGGAGGAAGGAAGGGAAGAGGGCATGTTTGTGAATGTGTGGCGAGTGTGTGCAGTGTTTGTGTGTGTGTGCTTGGATGAGTGTGTGCTGAGGGCATGCGTGGAAGATGTACAGGAAAAATGAAATCTCGGAACCCCCCAAACTCATAATGTCAAAAGGGAGACCAAGGCTGAGAACTGCGTCACTCAGCACTGCCAGCCTCTGCCCAAATCAAATAGCTGTTGATTTATGCACAAGTCCCGTTCCCATAACAACAAAGGTCCTCTGCCTCTCCAAATGACTCTCCGCAGGGAATGCGTGCAGGGAATTGCCTCATTAGCCCCAAACCTTCTCAGGGTATATGGTCCCTGCAAAACATGTACATGCCAATTATCACCTTAGAGCCACAACCTAAATTCTTGCTCTTGAGTTCTAAGTTTCACACTGACCTTGTGAATTGCAAAGTTTATCTTCACAGATGTGAACCAAGGACAAATAAGATATCTCAGCCACTCCTCTGTGAAGAAGACTACACCATTAACTTTCTTTCCCTCACCTTATCTGATGTAAAATGTAGATTTACTGAACACTTATTAGAGCCTCACAAGAATGTAACATCTGCCTCACTGCCTACCTCTCCCCATGCCCCTTCTTTTCTGTATGTCCACTCCTTTAAATACCCCATGGCCTGTTTCTTTACCCCTTAAGTGAGGCTAACACATGTAAGGAACACGGATGAGATGTTTGGGGTGAAAGTCCCTTGTAAACTATAAACCCCTTCCCAAATATAAGGTGTAAATGTTCCTTGAGTTACTGAATCTTAGAATCACGTATTCTATCTGCTTCATAAAATTCTTCATACATGGATAAAAATTTTCATACTTTGATTTTTTTCTTCAAAAAAATCTTCATTCTTTTCTACATACAGAGGATGCCAAAACAATTATATATACATTTAAGAAAGGGAAAAACTGTACTGAAATTATAATGCTTGATAGATACTGATAACATCTGTTAACCTGTATACTATATCTTATATCTCTTGGAATTACAGAAGTCAAATGGAACTGTGCATTACAACTTTGATGCCCTTTTTTTCCTTTCTTAAAGTGTGTATACATTTTTTATACCCACAGCATATTTGACGAAGGCATTGAAGATACCACTATATCATATGAAAATGCTGAAGAAATATCACAAAAAATAAGAAAATAGGAAATCATAAATGGGATGTGAAAATTTACCACAATTAAAAAAAATAAATAGTTTCTTGGGCAGTGCCTGTGGCTCAAAGGAGTAGGGCGCCGGCCCCATATGCCATAGGTGGTGGGTTCAAACCCAGCCCTGGCCAAAAAAAAAAAACAACTTTCTTAACAAAATGGCACTGAGGACTACAAATTAAATTGTATATAGTTTTGCATTATTGCTATATTTTCTGTATTAATTGTATTACGGTTATGTAAAAGAATGGCCATGTCCTGAGGAAATGCATGCTGACATATTCAGGTGTGAAGTGTCAGGATACATCCAATGCTTTAAACACAAAAATATCCCCTGTGTGCATGTACATAAAAATAGAAAACAGAACAAAAAGCAATTGTGACAAAATTTTAGCAATTGGCCAATCCAAAACATTTTTATGTTTCTTCTCTCAAAAGAATAAAAAAAGCTATATCTAAGCATATAGGCGAAGTTTGGAAGGGAAAATAAAGACATTTTTATGTGATAAGGGAGAACCATAATAGGTAAAGTTTTTCTTTCCTTGTAATATCTGTTCATTTGAAAGTTCACACAACTGGGGCAGCACCTGTGGCTCAGTGAGTAGGCCGCCAGCCCCATATATCGAGGGTGGTGGGTTTGAACCCGGCCCTGGCCAAATTGCAACCAAAAAAAAAGAAAGAAAGAAAGAAAGTTAGTTCACACAATTAAAAAGAAAGGCATGTTGGGCCGTGCCTGTGGCTCAAAGGAGTAGGGCACCGGCCCCACATACTGGAAGTAGTGTGTTCAAACCCAGCCCCAGCCAAAAACTGCAAAGAAAAAAAGAAAGAAAGAAGGAAAAGTGTTTACCTCTCGCCCCAGGGTGGTTCCTCCGGGCGTGCTTGCTGTTGCAGATGTCCTGGATGTTCTGGACCACGTCCGGACTCAGCCCATGCTCCCTCATGGTGGCCAGCACCTTTCTGTCCATCAGGTTATGGGACCTGAGACAGTTGGGGTAACTACAATTCCCTCGGGTGAAGTGGTCACAGATGTGGAGTCTGTCACACTGCGGCTGCTGACTGCAAATCTGTTTCCGACCCTCTCCCTTGTAACTTTTGCATATCTGCGGAAGGGAGAAACAATGGTCAGAGTCAAAGCACCTTCCTGTATCTGCCAATTGCTCATTATGGCAAGCTCAAATGCACACAAATTCCTGAAGCAAGCAGAGATACACCAAAGGAAAAGGAATACACATACATTCCACAATCTCTGATGAGTTGCATTCGATTGGTGATTTATTTGAGCCAGAAGAGGCCTGCAGACTAACCAAAAGATACTGAAGAATGTGATGACTCTTTGAGGACTCAAAATAAGATAGCAAACTATGATTAGGACCCAGCGTCAGAGGTACGTTGCAAAGGAACCCAGAGGAGGAAGGTTTGTCTTTAGATAGCAACTGACTTAGCAATTATAAAGGACATGTGTGTCTTACCTGCAACTGCTTGGGAATCTAGAATTTAGTCTCTGCTAGGCAGAATGTAAAGTTTCTCTAACGATCAACTAAAGAAGATAATTTTTATATTACTATTTAAATAGATATAACTACCTATTTAGCTCTACCTACATGTACTTCCTAGTGAAAAGAAGGCAGAAGAAATACTGTCACTGAGGTCAGGCCACAGCATGCAGGACTGGAAGATTCTGGTTTTAGAGCCTGAGGCCCAGCTGGGCATGATGCCTCATGCCTGTAATCCAAGCGTTCTGGGAGGCCAAAGCAGGTGGATTGCTTGAGCTCAGGAGTTCAAGATCAGCCTGAGCAAGAATGAGACCCCATCTCTACTAAAAATAAAAAAAACTAACTGGGTGTCATGGCAGGCACATGTAGTCCCAGGTACTCTGAAGGCTGCGGCAAGAGGATTACTTGAGCACAGGAGTTTGAGGTTGCTGTGAGCTATGATGATGTCACAGCACTCTACCCAGGGCAACAAAATGAGACATACAAGTCTCAAAAAAAAACCCAAAAAACCAAATAATTTTTAAAAATATTAAGGCTTACTGAGACCCTAAAAAGCAACTGTGTGGCCTCAGGGAACCCACTTACCTACTCCCAGCTTCTTTGTCTTTTGCTGGGAAAATACTTGCTTTGTCTACCTCAACAAAGTTGTTTGGCAGACTAACAAATACAGTTAGTATAGTTGTTCAGCATATAACAAATATGTCCATGTGTTGTGCAAAATACAAAGTGTGATGCCAATGTCTGAACAGGAAATGAGGAAATAAATAAAGCCAGCGAGAAATCCGAATTTCAGACATTTTGAAAATAAAGACATTCATAAGCTGTTTCAATAGACTCTAAGCAAACCAGATCGACATGGTTCATGATAATTTTGTCTAGACAGCAAAGCCACGGACTCAGACTCTAGGAACAATGGTTTAGCTACGGAGACAACTTCTAAAACCCGATTCAAATAAATACTTGTGAGTGCTGTGGAGTCTATTGTCCAGAGTCCAGACCAGGGGTTTTCAAAAGTGTGGTCCCTGGACCAGCACTGTCTGCACCACCTGGAGACTTAGAAACCCAACTCCTCAGACCCTTCCCCACATCTGGAGGTGGGGGGCCCAATGATCTATATTTTTAACAAATCCTCCAGGTGATGCTGAAGTGTGTCCTAGAGGCTACAACAAAAACAACATTAAAAAAAAAAAAAACCTAATTAGCAACCTTACAAGTGATGCTTTGGTAACATTCCTACTACTATACCAATGTTTAAGCAAGAATGTTTCTGCCTTAATTAGGCCAGAACAAATGAAAGTACTTTTTCCTTTAATAAGTACATTGCAATTATACAGGTTTTTATATATATA